GATGTCTGATTGTTTTTATTAGACCGATGGTACCTTTCTCTGATAAGAAATTATGACTTCGGGACCCATGTGAAATCACTAGACTGAATTGCAAGCAGGAGTCGAAGAAGGCCAGTCAGCTGCATTCACTTTGAGGGGTGGCCAATATGCCTGAGGCACCAGGCCCTGGCACTCCCGTCCACAGGGACAGTTGCTGGTTTACTCTCTTCCCTGGGGCAAGGTCTTCCCCTACCACCACTTTACAACAGACCAATCCCAAAACAAGTCCTGGGATTTACTTATGATCTTCTCGTTACGTAGCTCCCTCCTAGAAAAATCATGGCAAGACCCTTTCCTCACTTTTTTCTCAGGCACTAAGGTTGGGGCAAGACCCTTCGTGATGTCCTGGTAACAGGCAAGTCCCTAGACATTTCCCAGTCTGAGCTGCCCTGAGTGTACACACCAATCTGCTGCCGACTCCCACCGTCGGGCTACTCTATTGTGCAGGAGTGTCCTTTGACCAGCACAGGGAAGCATAGAGGACAGGCCAAAGAGTTCCCGCTGTTTACAGAGTAAGTTGCTGAGAAAACCCGTTTCTCCTGCCTTGGTGGGTCATGGGGACAGCAGTCAGAGGAGGCCAACGCTCTCACTCAGGAGCCTCAGCTGTCTGCATGGGAACAGGGGCAAAACTGGGCTATGGATTTTCAAAGCTCAACTGCTGATACCCAGCAGGAGGTCCGTAATGCATATGGAAGGCAGCACAAAAACTGCAAGAACTTTGACTGTTCAAACCCTCTTCCCTGAGACAGCACAGCTCTTCTCACAGAAGCTGTGGTGACCAGAGTCCGTACGGCACAGGAACCTTAGCACTCCCTTAGTGCCTCGCCAACGCGGATGCTCCTGTTGGAACTGTTTTATCTGAGATCGGAGAAGCAAGTTCTGGACCCACCACTGAAATCCCCCTCCCCCTCTGCGGCAGAGACAACTCCTTGTCCTGTGCGTGGACGCAGATGTTCCTGGCTACCAGGCTGTTATGTTTTGTCCTCCTGCGTGAGGCCTGTAACACATGATCTGCCACTTCGGGTTCCTTCTCTTTACATTATTAACCTTCTGCAAAGTACGCTGGAAAAAAAAAAGCATGCCCACAGAAAGTAAAAGGGCCCTGGGCTCCAGAAACAATATACAGTGCCCTGCATTAGCGAGAAGAGATCCTCACTATACTTGGCAAGGAACAAAATGCACCCGCAATGTGTTAGTTACAAACAATATTGACTCCTGACCTAATAATCTTGGAGAAAAGCTTAATCCATCTGAAGATGTAAACATCAACAACACTGTCCATATCCTGGGTCATCAAGGGACAGAGAGTCCATGCATGGACCCGCTGGCATTCTTGTATTTCATGGATCCACCCCCATTACCCTCACCTCTGCATGTCTGTGTTTTCCCTTAGTCATCTATGCTGGAAAAAAAAAAAAAAAAAACAAACAGAAATTAAAAAGAGAAAGGCATATCCCAAATGCCTTCCCCCACATGCGTCTGTATCCTTTCTCACAGTCCCTACACACACCTCACATGCGCATTTCTTACCATGTTGCTGGGACCCGAGAGGATGATTGTCCCAGAAAATCACCAGAGAGGTGATTATGCATTCACCAATAAAACAAGAACATGTGAACTCAACGCACAAGTGAACTTCAAGATTCCCATCATCCTTGTCTAGCTTAATGTGTCTTATGATACCCCAAACAAAGGACTGTGGAGGTACCTCCGCCCAGCAAACTGGGCCCTGGATATCTTGGTGCGCACTATCCCCTTTCCTTGAACCACTGCTGCTTTTGCAGCACAAAGCAAGCCTCCAACTGCACTTCCTTTGCTTTCTTTTGCCTCTCCAACTCTGGCTTCTAGGAAGAATCCCAAAATGCGCCACACCCAGTCACTCTATAACTTTAGCGGCCCGTCTCCACTGCAGATGATGCAGAGAATGAAACACATGGAATCCACTGGGTACACACACACACACACACACACACACACACACACAGACCCACACAACCCTCCCCCCCCGCCCACAGACACACACACACAAGAGTCACACGTCCTTGACAGTGTTTATTTTCACTCCATGAAATCCAAGTTTACCCCCTCTTCCTATCTGCATTTTTCTATGACAGGATCTGTCTTTCTTTTGCTTCCTGTGCATAAGACCATGTTGAGTACTGACATCCTGAATAATGTAGTAACTTTTCAGGAGTTCTGCCGTTTCAGGTGAAGTCCGACGCACCATCATATTCAACCCGAAAAATGGGAGTCCCCTAAAGAAACACAACTGCGTGTCAAAATGCATTTCCTCTGAGCAATAGTTTTAAATGCTTTAATTTTAGGGCCCGCCCAGAAAAGACTACCCCTTCCCCGTTTGTGATCTCCTAAACTTCCTCCTACCATATGTTACCAGCTGTTCTCTGTCATACCTGCCCCACTGCCAGCATTTTCTCCCTGTGACGGAAGTCAGCTAACAACAGGCAATCTGGGATTCTTCCAAGAGGACAGAGTTGGAGAGGCAAAAGAAAGCAAAGACAGTGCAGCTGGAGGCTTGCTTTGTGCTGCAGAAGCAGCAGTGGTTCAAGGAAAGGGGATAATGTGCACTAAGATATCCAGGGCCCAGTGTGCTGGGATGAGGTACCTCCACAGTCCTTTGTTTGGGGTATCATAAGACACATTAAGCACATTAAGCTAGACAAGGATGATGGAAATCTTGACGTTCACTTATGCGTTGAGTTCACATGTTCTTCTTTTATAGGTGAATGCATAATCACCTCTCTGGTGATTTTCTGGGACAGTAAGAGCACACAGAAATCTGATCGGGCTATAGTATAAGAACAGCAGTCTAAACAGTCATTGTGGTTTGTGGCAAGGAGGCATATCCAGGGAGCCCAATCTTAAGGGGCTGGTAGGATGACTGCCAGTGGGGTTGGCAGCCATGGAAACAAGTGCCACAAATTGAAGGTAATGATTCACTTCTCAGTGAGTCTGGACAGCGACTATGCTTGGCTGGGCTTAAGACTCCCCAGCTCTAACCTGCCTTGCAGTGCCGTCTCTGATGTGCCTCTTTGAGCCCAAATGCCCTGGATGTACTGGATTCTGTCACTCTCTGTCTCCCTGTCGAGGTATTCCTACGTGTATGAAAGGAGCCTCAATTTCTACATTTCCGAATGCAGCGTCCAGGCTCCCTGCATACAGGCATGTCCACCTTCCTCATCCTGAGGATCAGTCAGCTCTAGCTCCAACTGAACGGCTTACCTGAAATCTCTGTTCCCTCTTCGGGTGGCCTGGTCCTCGTGTAGTATTGCAGGGGATTGCGCCACAGGTCCTTACTTAGGATCTATCACAGGAATCAATTGGGAAAGGCCTCATCAGGGCTGAGACTGGTGAGCCAAGCAGCTGGGAACACACCGGGGTCATTCCTGATGTTTTCCAGCGAGGACCCACCTCAGCGATCCTGTTAGATCCTGCGAAGTTGTGGTCAGAAAACCAGTTGAAGAAGTTAAGGCTGCTGTTCTGGTGTCTGCGGCGGTAGGCCACACGTTCATAACGCTGATGCCACTGAACTGGAGTGGAATGAGAAGGCCTGTATTCTACAGAGAGGGGATTTTGTGGGAAGTGGGCTGGATCACGTTGGCAATGATCCATCCACCTACCCACCACCTTCCTTCCACTGCCCCTCCTGGGAGCCACCAGTCACCTGTGAGGTTCACGAGATACTCCTTGGTAACCACGTTATTCTGGAAGTAGGGGTTGCTCCGAAAGAACAACATGATCTTGCAGACGTGAATAGGTTGCTTTGTTTCTTTCACCTGTCAGGACAAAGTGGAGAAAGCTTACGTATCTTTCCAGGTGAGGTGCCCACTGTTGCTGACAGCAAGGAGTTGCTTCCCTTCCCCCTCCCCACTAAACCTTCTAGCCTCAGTCCTCGTGGCCTCACCTCCAAGTTGATCATGTAGCTAAGCATGCGTACATCTTGGTTGGTCAGTGATCAGGGCTGACATCTGGGGGTGGTTTGCAATCTGAATTAGGTCAAAGAGCCTTTACAGGGATGGAAGGAAGAGGTACAAGCAACAGGGAAGCAGGTCTAAGAGCCAGAAGGAACACGGAAGAAGCTCTAAGGCTGGGGTACGGGATTTCTGAGATCTGCTTCAGTGTGTGACCTTCATTTCCCCACCCCCTGCCCGGAATTAAGGCCTCGTGGGTTCTCGGAGCGTGTATAATTCTGAGGCTGACTGGGGCAATCTGCAGAGGGCTGCTGGCGTCTCAGGAGGGGCAGAGCCAGCTTATACCCGAAAATGTCCTGTCCCAGATCTGACTGGCAAGGGGGAGCGATCACACTCCCTTATCAGTAGCTTGATTCTCCGAAAAAGAAACTCTGCTGGGGAGAACTCGCTTCTGCTCTTCAAAAGCATGACTCAACCACCTGCTGCTCGGCATCTCGAAGGGTTTCTGACCTGCGACCGCTCCGGCCTTCTAAAGCCAGACTTTCACGCCGCAACTCGCATCTCGCAACTCACCGTTGTTTCCAGAATAGACATATCCATGCTGAGCTGCCCCTAAGTTATTTACAGTTCCCTAGAGCATCTTTCAACCGGACGAACAGAAAAAGTGCTGAAAAGGATACGACATTGGCCCAGAAGCCGGGGATGCCCCGGATGATGGCGCCTCTGCGATCCAGGTGGGGCTTGCGCCTGCGCTCCAGCTTTTCCCTCTGCTGAGAAAAGGCCCTCCTGGCTCGGGCGTTAACAGGCTCCAGCTCCACCTGAACAGCCCGGAGCTCGTCCAGTGCGGACTCTGGCGTCAGGGGCCCAGGCCCCGGCTGTGCCCCTTTGTCCTGCCGCTCCCGCTCGACATCGGCTTCCTCCTCGGCCGCCGCTTCCACTTCCGCCATTATGTCGTCCTCCACCACCAGCACCGCCTCCTCCTCCTCCTCCCTCAAGGCTCTGCTTCCCTTACTGGAGCCTGCGGGTGGCTTGGCGGACGCCCAGGGCGCATGCGCGGGACTTCCAGGCGCCGCCGGGCCCCCCGCCGCCAACCCGTTACTCTGCCGCGCTTACGGGAGCCTGGGCGTGGCTTGGCGGACCCCCAGCGCGCATGCGCAGGACTTTCCGGGCGAACCCGTGGCCAACTGCCTCCAAATGGGTGGCCGAGCTGGAAGCAGGCTGTAGGCCTCTCCCGGCGGCCAGTCAGTGCCAGGGCGGTGGGCGTGTCCATGGAAGCCACGCCCCCGGCTGGGCCTGCAGCCGCAGCCTCCTCGGGTAAGCCTGGGTGAGAAGCCCTGGGAGCTCGCGGCAGGCGGCGGTGTGTGCGGGCACACGCGGGCTGCCCGCCCTTTGGAATTGTGGGCATGGAAGCCCTGTGCCCTAACTGCCATCATGAGTGTGGCAGGCCATTGATCCACAGGGAACACATGAAGCATCTCAGTTCGTTCGGCAGGCCGATGGTACTGAGTATTCCAAGATCCAAGATCGAGAGGAGAGAGAGAGGCACCAGCGCTGGCTGCTGGGGCGAGGGCTGCGGAGAGGCTTGAGGAAGTGGGGCGGGGCAGGCGCCTGGAAGGAAAGTTGCCTAATATCTTGCTGGAGTGGAATTTGTCTGCTCCAGAGGTGGAAACTCTCGCTCGGACTCCTGCAGGTCTAGGCGCATACAGGCTCCGAGTACCTTGCTTCCTCCCTGAGGATGCTGGACTCGCAGGAGCATTCCAAAGCACCTGGCGTCCAGTGCCCTGGACACACCTTGTGGACCCAGAGGCTACCGCAAGCGCAGCAGCGGCCGTGGTACCTGCTGGCTGGGCTCTGTAAGACCAGGGCCTCCGCCTCCTGCTCCTGGGCCCCGGTTGGGGACCTGGCTCCTGTTGGGGACCTGGGCCCCACGGCAAGTGCCTAGGGCAGCCAGCCGGGTGGGGCTCCCCAGGAACCCTGGGTCCAGGTAGGCACGGGGTTCTCAGCAGGGGAGTCTAGGGCTGCCGGGGTCTTGGGGAGGACGCCGCAGGGCATGGTCTGTGAGCGCCCCCAGGAGGGGCCGAGTTCAGGCTGGAGGCTCTGCAAGGGTGGGCGGCTGGGGCGAGGAGCTAGGAGGCAGCCGTGCGGGAGGAGGCAGTGCTGGTGGTGGACGACGTGGTGGTGGACGACGTAATGGTGGACGTGGACGCGGTGGCCGAGGAGGGGGCTAACACCGAGGAGCGGCAGCAGGTGGACCAGCGGGCCCAGCCTAGCCCTGGCCCCAGCAAGCACTGGCTGGCAACGGACTCGCCGGAGGTCCTTCAATCGGAGCTGGGCTCCGTTAATGCCCCAGATGGCAGGGCATCTCCGGCTTCTGGGGAGACCCATATCCTTGCAGGTTTCAAGACTCGGGTTCCTGGGACACGGGGCTGCCCTCCTCTGCAAGGCAGGCACCAGCTCCCCAGACACGCTCTCCTCCCTTTTGCCCCAAAGGGGTGTCGTAGGCCCCTTGGGAGCATAGATAACCTCCGCCGCACCCACGAGAGCCCCTTGGGGAGCACCAGGCACAGCCCTGCAGCCCCTTCTACCCTCAGCGGTTTCCTCATGGGGAGTCATCCACCCCTCAGGGAGTTCGGGAGAGGAGAACACCATACAGCCAGAGAGCATCAGACCCTGTTCAGCAGCCAGCACACGAGGGCCTCGTGCGGCTCCGGAATCCTGAGGAAGCAGCCGCCTCATACCACCCAGCCCGCCCCCTAACCTCCTGACCACTTCTTCCGTGGGTGGCCCCTGGACAGCGTAGGCTTTCTCGGCCTCGTTCCACCCACGCCCAAGTCCCACCACAGCCGTGAAGTGCCCCCACGCCGGACACAGTCAGAGGACCACCAAGAAAGGGTGCCAGGCCCAAGGTCTGCCGGAGACCCCTGCCCCACACTCTCTGCCCTCTTGCAGAGTTCCACTGTGTTTTATGGGACATTCACTCTGGAGGCTCTTTGAGCAGAGGCAGATTGTGCAGCACAGCCAGATATTTCCCCCCCAGATCGCAAGCCACCATACAGTCTGGCTTACTTGCTTAGCTACATGATGGATTTGCAGGTCAGGCTGGGAAGCCTAGGTCTGGGGGAGAGGTCAGGACTCAGGGGTCGGCCTGGATCCGGGTGCGGGGGTGGGGTTTCTGGGGGGAGGGGCGAGCTGGGTGGAGGAAATGCCTGCTTCTCTCCAGCAGCTGGCAGGCCGCTTCAGCCCAGGTAGCTGAAATGGTCTCTTTGTGGCCCTACTCCTTCTCCCTTCGTCACCAGGCAGGTGGAGGAACTCAGCCATCCCAGGTACCAGCAGCAGGATGAAGTTCTCCTTTCCTCACAACCTTACTTCGTCCGTGCGGTGATCATTAAGGAGTATCCCCTTGGTGTCCTAGGTAAGTAGTGCCTCCAGGCTCCCCAGGGGAAGTGGTGCGTGAGAGGCTAGGCCTGGCATGACCCTCTCTCCAGGATACAGGGTGGTTGATTCCACTGCACTCCAGTGGCTCTAGGTTCATGAGGGTGAAGCCCCCATCTGCAGGCAGGCGGGACACCAACAACCTGAGCTTCTTCAGCTGCTTGGCTGATAATATGATAATATAGGGAAATAGACTCAAGAAAGTTTTTGAGTGACCTGCAGATTCCTTTAGAGTACTTACTTGTACATTTTTAACTTCTTTCCCTGTGGCTCTGTTTATTATTTGTGATGTATATTTGTTTCTTACTTGCCTCTTGTGGAATGTTTGTTTCAAAGGATTTTTTTAAAATTTTCCTGTTGGATATGTGAGTTTGCCTGTGAGCACTTTTTCGTGAACAGAATATGAACTTATGTTTATTTTTCAGATGGAGTCTCACTCTGTTGCTCAGGCTGGCTGGAGTGTAGTGGTGTGATCTCAGCTCACTGCAACGTCCCCCTCCCAGCTTCAAGCAATTCCCCTGCCTCAGCCCGATTACGGGTGCGTGCCACCATGCCCAGCTAATTTTTGTCATTTTAGTCAAGATGGGGTTTCACTATGTTTGGCAGGCTGGTCTCGAACCCCTGACCTCAAGTGATCCACCCACCTGGGCCTCCCAAAATGCCGGGATTTAAAGGCATGAGCCACCATGCCCGGCCTCATTTGTTTGTTTACGTATTTTAACTCTTGTTCTGTATTCTTCACGTACACATATTGTAGAGTGATTGTAATATTTTATCTATTGACTCACTACTTAGTAGGATTTGAAAAGCAATGTTTTCATTCACTGAATACAGTGCTGCAAATAGGTTGAACCTTGCTTGGGTAGCACTGTCATTCTTTCCTTCATAAATTCTTCAGGAACTCTGATACTATTTTCCCCCACCTGAGGAGAACGTGCAGATATGAAAATTCGTGTGAGTGAGTAGGTGTGAAAATATAATCTGAAAGACCAGTGAAGTTCAGAAGTACAATTTCGCAGTGTTTTGAAAACGCTATTTGCAGAGAAATGAAATCCTGTATTCACGTTCATGTTAAAGACACACTCGTGAATCGTTTTCAAGAATGAAATGGAAACAATCCAAGGCCATGCGTTAGTTTAGGAAGTAATAACACGGCAGTTGTTATGAAGAAACACCATATTTATTGAATGTATGTTTAGAGAGATTTTAGAAGTTTAGGAAGTAATAACACGGCAGTTGTTATGAAGAAACACCATATTTATTGAATGTATGTTTAGAGAGATTTAGAAGGCTTAAGTCAATATTTTAGCTTTTGTTGCTCTGGGGTTTTATCAGACTGTGACCAGACTGTAGCGTGACTAGTTATAGTCGCTAGGCTACCAAAGTCTCTGGGCTGCAGTAATTATTGCTGAAGAAAGTGGCAATGAGTTTGGCTGTTTAAGGAGAGTAGATGAATGAGCAGTTTCTACCCGAGGCCTGGCTTACTGGGTGGCCTTCTTTTGCTGACGTAGATAAGATCCAGGGAGCTGTGGACTCACTATAGTAGCTAGGGCTTTGAGACTGGCGAAGCCTATTTGCCTCCAACTGCCATAGCCAGTTATTGGCCTGCACATAATGGCACTTCCTGGACTCACCGACTCCTGTGAATTCAAACACAGAATTTGGATTTAAACTCTATCCCAACTTCTAAAACTTAGATTTAAATTTAAGTGGATAATAAGGATCTATTCAGAAGAAAGGGAGACATCAGTTAGTGCATAGGTAAAATTATCCTGATCAAATACATTCAAAAAAATATCATGACAACTAATCCTTAAAACGTTATTTTCACTAGGGAAACGGAAAATGTTAAGCTCACCTTAAGCTCTGAGGTATAAAGATAGAATTATTAGAATAAGGGAATTATGTAAAATATCTATTTTGTTTGAAGAGCAGCATACTAGTGATTTAGCATGGCTAGAGATTAACACCCATGTAAGAAAACTCAGATATTAACAAAGGTTTTTTTTCAGAAAGTTTGTTCTGTAATTAAAGAATTTGAAAATTATTCCTACTGATCAATGATTCATTTGTACTTCTCATTTAGGCATAGGCTCTATATCCATTTATACAGAAACAAAGTGATAGTTTCTAACCTGTTAAAAGACAAAAAGAATGACCGCATACCACATTTGCATCAGAGTCTTTGGCCTGAGTGATGAAGCAAAGGACAGAACTGCCTATGTCAGGGTACAGATGGGCACAAACTTGAAGCTTCCATCACTTGCATCTTTAACATCCTGGACTCTCATCGGTCTCTCCTAGAAAGACAAATGGACTATAACTATCCCAAAGAACATACGTTACATGTAAACACTAAGCATTGAGATGAGACCACGATTTGTCTTATTCCTAATGTCCTGTAAACACATTTGCATCTGTAACTTATACAAAGAAATTCAGTTTATTTATCATTATTATTTTATACCCTACATTAATGTATTTCATTCTTTTTCTAGTCTTTTTTTTTTTTTTTTTTTTTTTGAGATTGAGTACTGCTCTGTCACCCAAGCTGGAGTGCAGTGGCGTGATCTCAGCTCACTGCAACCTCCACTTCCTGGGTTCAAAACAATTCTCCTGCCTTAACCTTCTGAGTAGCGGAGATTACAGGAACACACCACCGTACCTGACTAATTTTGTATTTTAGTAGAGATGGGTTTTCCCCCATGTTGGTCAGACTGGTCTCGAACTTTGACCTTAGGGGATCCACCCGCCTCACCCTCCCAAATTGTTGGCACCACGCCTGGCATTTTTTTCTTGCTTTTTTTTGAGATAAGTTCTTGCTTTTACAACCCAGGTTGGAGTGGATTGCATAGTCTTGGCTCACTGCAGCCTTGACCTCCTGGGTGCAAGCTATCCACCTGCCTCAGCTTCCCACATAGCCACATAGCTGTGCAACATCATCCCTGATTATTTCCTTAGGTGAAGTCTTCCTATATCTCCCAAGATGGTATCAAACTCCTGGGCTGAAAGGCTCCTCCTAGTTAAATCTGCCACAGTGCTGGAACTATCCATAGCTCAGCCACTGCGGACAGCCTACTCACATTTTCATCGCTTTATAGATGCCACTCTTCAAAATTAACAAGTCAAGTTTAAATTATGCAATTTGAAATTCCGAGTGAAGTTCCACTTCATTTTCATGTAAAGGTAAAAAAAACAAAATAACAAAACTCCTGTTTTTCCTTTGTCCAAAAGTTGGCCGAGTTGGAATCAAATCATCTCTACTTTGGTTTATAAAACTTGACTGTACAGAGAAAGATTTTCATATAATTTTTTCAGATCTGAATTCCTGTGACGTTATCATCACTATCATCGTCGTATAAAACATATACAAATTTCATAGTGGGTATCTGATGAGGATTAAATGCATTATAGTTAATAATGAATACAGTTGTACTCATAGTTATTCTCTGAACCATAATATTAAGAATATGAACCTCATGTCTTTGAGCTACTACCCTAATGAGAAAAGTAACCGCTGACCTGGAATAAGATTTCGTGGCCCAGCGAGCCAGCATTCTGCACCATTCAGGTTCTTCAGATAGCCCAAGGGTGCTAAGAGCTGAGTGGGAGTCTGGACCTCTTGAAGGAGAAGTAATGCCAGGTCATTCCTTGCTGCCCCCCCACTCCCCATCCGGAATCTCTCATGCAGTTAAATGGTAGGACACCTTAACACAGTCTCAGGGATGCTCCTGGGTACCTCAGGCCCAGTGTCACAGCAGTGCCTTCAAGATTCCTGTGTATGTAGGCAAAGGTAATTAAAGTACATCCACTGGAAAACCTGAACCCTCAAGACGACACCAGGATTTCCAGCATATATTTTTAGCCATGATACAGTAGGCAGGTTCCGAGTTCATCAGAGAAATCGGAAGTTTATGAATGGAGAGTCCACACACAATGGGATTGCAGAGGAATTAACCAACAGAGTACCAATTAGCCAAACACAGAGAGGCAATTTATTTTTAGCCTAAAACAAGAAAGTTTTCTGTGTAAGTGAGATGGACCACTTGAACAGGGCCGGGGCTTGTGAGATTTTTTTTTCTCAGAAAAAACAATCAAGAAAGAGTTTATTATTTCCACATTTCGATGTGAAAAAAGCCCGCGAGGTCGTGTGAATCAGATGAAGTTCAAGTAAAGCACTCATGTACAAATAGCAGTTTCGCACTACGAAGTTAATTTGCACGGAGAATCCTTCAGCAATATAATTAAGGGATAATGAATTATAGGGTATAGGAAGAGGCGCACAAACCTAAATGTTCCGGACACAGTGGGCAGCTGTGAGAACCCAAGAGCTACTAATTGTGGAACCACTGCAGATCTGACTGCCACAGCTGATGATCAACAGCCTGCCAAGGCATGGCATATCACAGAGAAATGTGATTTGCCAAAACTGAGGGGAAAAATAAGCACAGTTAATCTGTAGACCATTTTTTAAAGTTTCCATCCCTCCTTGTAGGAATTCAACTCAGGGTGGTGGCACAAATACTAAGCGAAAATATTTAGAGAAAGTTATTGAATAGGTTGTCGCAAACCCTTTGGAAGACCTAAGGGTTTTTCTTTTTTCTGTAGTTTTTGGCTGAAAGCAGCCTAAATTCTTTTAAAATTTATTAATAAGCAAAGCAAATAGCTAAGGTTTAATGGGGCAGTTTAGTTAATATCTTGTTTACTCATGTGGTTTAAAAGTAACTCTGAGCTGGATGGCCCTCTCAAGGAGAGGTCGACCAGGAAGATTACCATGTAATGCGTTTACTGTGGGCATCAAAACCTGCACTTTTAACATATGGTGGTGTTGACTCAAGTTTAATTGTCAATTAAACTTTACTAACTAAAAGTGAGTCTCACTGGCTGGTGGGAGTGTGGGGCGACAGTTGCAACTGTTATAGTGCTCTCCAGGGAGTCTTTAAGAGGCCATGGACCCTTAGCCAAACTGGCAAGACATAATATCTATGTGTCAGTATACTTCAGTCATCCATGGCTGAGTCAGGTCAGCAGGACAGACCCGCGGATGGTAACCCCAACAGTAGTGCACAAATATCGGGCAACTCTGACACCTCCTATTTCTGCCAAAACCAGGTAGCATCTTAAATATGACTAGCAAAAAACGAATGTCTGCCTATTTTTGGTTAGTGCATATTTCTTGAAAAAAAAAGTGTTCCTCTTACTCTTTTTCCAAGTTTATAATTTCTTTATGTCTTAGCTTACATTTGTTTAGCTGAAATGTTAGGAGTCATTCCACCTTTCTCCCCCACTGCAACATTTATGTAAGTACGTGAAAGTTCTTGAAGTAGGTAGACCACAAAAAATAATTAAATTTGAAGAAATTAGAAACGTGAAAAATTTGGAGATAAGTCACCTTTCCCCCAATTGGAGGGGGTTTGTCTTACTAAACTGATAATCTTAGGGAGATATCAGACCAAGACTTTAAATGAAAATTCAAGTTTGAGGTTCAGGAAGGAGGTCATATTTCATGAATATTTAGAGTTCCTCAGAAACTGAGTTGAGGCAATGCTGGTCAATAAATATATCGAGATAAAATGAGAACGTAATTTGTCAATAGAAGGGATAATAAAATAGATGAAATAAGAAGCATAACTAACATCTTCAGTGTAGTTGTCATTGAATTAGGACTTTCGAGGATGTGAGCAAATTATTTCAGCCTACTTTGTATTTTAAATGCAGTATTCACTGTAGCTAGGGCAATAGGAGGTAGCTATAAAATAGCTGTGGTTAAGTAAAAATTTAATACAGGAGACCAAAAGAGATCCTTGAATTTCCAAGGAAATAACTGAAATAAAGGAATGTGAAAACAGTCATGCTAATAGTTTTTTGTTTTTTTCTAGCAGCCAATGGCAGGAGAAAAAATGATCATCACAATGTAACACATTCTACTACATTGACAACTAAAACAATTTATTTACCAACTCCTATTCTTTTTTCCAAACATCAGAATATCTTTAACTGAAAATTACATTATTTTAGAAGAATTCTATTACAAACGTAGGTACTATGTGGTAGTGAAGAAATAACTTTGTGTTAGGAGAGTGAGTCATAATGTTAGCCCTATTCATCCTTTGCCATAAGAACTTGTTCAATCCATTCTACTTTCTAGTATCAGAGTAAACAATTAAGGTAACTATAATAAAATCAGTCATATGATCTATATCCTAATCTTGATGATACAAAAATACTGTGGAAATTAAATCATATTTAAGGCATGAAATGTCTTTGTAAGCCATGAGAAATTAATTTCTAAGATTTGGTAGATAGAAATCTCATGCATTTCTCAGGAAGAGCTTTCCCTCCTTTCCTCTGTTCTTTTCTATCTATCTCCCCTACCAAGTTCTTTTTCTCTTCTTTTTCTACTTCCCCTACCAAGTTTTTGAGCCTTACCCTGACGCTGTGGCAGAGAGAGAGATGAACGGGCGATCCGAAATAGAAGCAGAGAGTGGAGGTGTAGCTGAGGCATTTTCGGAGGTGGAGAGTGCAAGAGACGTGGAACCAGAGACAGTCATGGGCCCTTGCTGGTACCAGTGTGCATGGCTAGGCCGTATCACTCCCTGGAGCCAGAAAAAGGAAAGAGTGGACTTGCCTGAAGGACACAGGGCTTGTGCAGTGCTCATCAACTGAGTCAAGATTCCCACTTGCACCCAAGCGTCCTTTTGCTGTAGATGGCACGCCAAAGGTGCCCCAGGTCACCCTGAAAGAAAACAGAAACAAGATATCGATAATTATTTTGAGGGAGGGCCAGAAGTAACTCTTGGTGTTTCAGTTATTCCTCTTCTCCCTGATATCCCCACCCCATGAATTTGTCATCTTACAGCCAGCCTCCCCTGTAGCATTTTTTTTTTTTTTTTTTTGCCTTCACACAGAAAGTGAATTCATTCAGCTTGGGCCAGAATTGGGCACAAGGGCATGACTCGTAGGACGCTCAGATGCCTTTTTTTGCAGAACTCCAGGACTTCATGATGGAAAACAGAGAAAAGATCTTTGTGTTTGTTTATTTTTAACTTTAGCCTAGATAGTAGAGGAAGAGTATGGTGACAGGAAAGACAAAATCTTGTATTATTCAAGGGAGGATACTATTATCTTTTTAAAGATGCTGCTCTTCCATCCCACTGTCTTCTTCAATACTCACCCCTCATAAGGGACCAACTGGGTAGCCAACAGTCATATAGTTGTATATTTTTCTCTTGTTTCAGACTTTGAGCTAGCCATATAGGAGGCAGTAGGGGTTGAAAAATGAAGAGGCTGCTTCAGGAAGATCAAAACCCAGGTCCTAGAGGTCCCATCGTACCTAGTTAGGGCATGGCGTGATCAGTGTTGACAGTCTGAGCTTGGGCGGGATCCTGGAGATCATAGGCCCACTTGGATCAGGGCCAGGGCTGTGAGTTTTTTTTCTGGGAGAAAAAACAATCAGAAAAGAGTCTTAATGTTTCCCTGTTTTTCAATATGAAAAAAGCGCTGGACGTATCATGTGAACAGATGAAGTTCAAATAAGCACTAAAGCACAAATAGCAGTTTGTAAACAATTTCAAGCATAATTGGAGACCAGATGGGCAACTTGGAGAGACTGCATCCATGCAAAATAAATAAATAAAATAAGTAAATACGCAAATACAGTGGTGTATGCCTGTGGTTCCAGGTGCTCAGGAGACTGAGGTCAGAGGGTCCTTTAATGTTTGGATTTGAGGCTACTGTGAGTCAAGTAGCCTCCCACGTATAGATACACCACTCCACGTATAGATAATAGAGTGAGACACACCACACACACACACACACAAATATATTAATAAAAGAGAAATATATTCATTAATAATCTCAATGCTTTAATTTCTTTATAATAGTAGGTCTTAATCTTGCAATGAATTACTCAGAGTCTACATTAAATTGGCACATCTAGCTGTGCTAAGGATCCACTGTTCATTTAGTATGGAGCCAGCACAGAAATGAGAGAAAGACAGCTGCACAGAAACTATCCAAGGGAAGTCACCAATTTCTGCCTCCCAGCAGTCGGGACAGTTCGAGATAAGACCAGGGGGTGTGATGCACAGTCTGCGGAAGGGATCCGCATGTGGGATACAGTAAGATTAGTGTTAATAGACTCCTTTCTCTGAAATCTAATTTTAGGTTTTAGGAAAAAATGCTGGAAAATTCTGTATCTTCATTTCTGAGAAAATACTTGGAAAGACACACTTATTTACCCTACAATTTTAGGTATAGCACTAAGGTGATCTGCAGACTTTTCTTTCAATAATAATTTAATTTGTATATATAGATATACACACACACATATACGTATATGCATATGTATACACACATACATATATGCATATATATACACACATATACATACATGCATATAATACACATATACATACATGCATATGTGTGTGTATATATATATAGACACACACAAACACCCACATATGCATTATTGACATTTTTGAAATATTAGTATCCAAAATATCATAGTATTTTGTTATCCAAAAATGTCTGTATGATGTATATACCTCAAGTGGAGTAGTACGCCATTCTTAGCAGTAAGACTGTTTTAAGGTACCGATAATACCATGGTAAGAAGTAAGACTATCCTTAAAGTACTGTTTCAGAATAGAATTGTGTTTATAAAACACAGCTCATAAGCCCTGTTTGTCTAAAATAAGATATTCTCTAAATATTAGACATCTCTGATGAATCAAGGACAATAATGTAAAATTTTGCTATTGCAAAGATCTGAGACATAACCTCTGATTTTAACAAAACTCCAGTTTTGGTCTTCAAAAAGAGTCTTACTACCAAGTACGTTAACGCAAAACATATGGCTGACTAAACTTGCCCGTGGTTTCATGACAAACAACTGCCATCTTGAAGAGCCAGAAAGCCTGGAACTTCTTTCCAGATCACAGCTGGTTGACATCAGCCAGGGAAACCTTGACTTCTGAAGGCCTAAGAGGTTGTTGTCCAGGCTCCGTGTCCGGAGTGAGATCCAGGCATCAGGAGACGTTGTTTTGTTAAAAGTGTGGCTGGAGCAGCATGCAAGGATGATAAAGAATGAGGAAGAATGGACTCGTCAGTAAATGTTGAGGAAGATATTTTCCTGAAGAGGATTAGCAGAAGAGGCTATGGAGGGAGAAGAGGAGAGAAGTCCACAGGAGAAAAAAACTGAGCAAGATGGGAAAATGCACAATGAAGGACAGGTGCAAGAAGAAAAGACTGAACAGGAAGGAGACAGTGTCCTTGGAGATGGAAGAGAACAAGAGATAAGAAAGGAAAAGGAGGAAGAAAGAGAGGTAAGAGAGGTAGAATGGAGGTCAGGCCTTTCTTCTGTCTTGTTATTTTTAATTTCCTGCCATAGTGCTGGCAAACAAACCTAGGAAGCCAAACACTTCTAAGTGGGCTTGGTTGCAGAGAATCGATTTTATCTTGGCTTTCTGTGGCAATTACGTCAGTTGACAAAGCTACAAAATACTGATCTGGGGAAGAAACAGATTTTACAGGCAGAAAGGGTACACGTTTAGATAGGAAGCCGAAATGACTCTTTAATAGTGTTCCTCCATTAGGCTCAATGTCAGGAGGTGAAAATGATGCAGTTATGTCAGGCTTATTATAAAGGGTTCTGGGTCTTAGTATTCTCTTTCAGGCTGGATCCACATTCTCACTTGACAGCTTTGAAAACAGCAAGGGACTCAGTATCAGCTTCAGACTGGGTCAAGGGTCTGTCTGCTTGGGTTCCAGGCAGTATCCAAGACATGAGTGTTCTTTAAGCAAGGGTCGTGGTTTGACTGCTGGAGGGTAGAAACTGTGGGCTGGGATCCTACCAGGGAGGTTTCAGACTGGATAAAAAGGTTGAATTATCCAGGGACTGACTATATGAGATTCAGGCTGGATGCAGGGACTGACCATTTGAGGTTTTGATTGAACCCATGGTCTGCCTTTACTCATTGAATGTAAAATGAGGGTCTGACTAGATCAGTTCCTGCTTGATCATGGGTCTCACTGCTTGGGTTTCACGGCTGAGTCCACATTCGATTTGTAGCAGCTGTTTCTTGGACTGCTAAAAAATATACCAACTTCAGCATGGGGTCCAGGGAGACAGACAAGACACCGACTCTCAGGATGATGCAGGGCCTAACTGTATCATGTTGAGTCTGTAAGCAAGATGCGACTGTGTCAATTTCAGTCAACTTTTGAGGTTTTATTACTTGCAGCTTGGTGTCCAAATTGGGAATCCTTCAGTTTCAAGTTCGCTGCAGGGTCTTATTGCATTCATGTGAGTCTGGAACCAGTATCTTATTACGTACTGGCTTCAGGGTGGGTCCAGGCATGAATCTCAGAATACATCAATGATCTGATTGTAACAGGTACACGTGGATTCCAAGGGTAATTTATGCTAACTTGATTCTGCTTCCAGGAGTGTGTCATTAGAGATTCTAGTTGGGTCCAGGGCCAAATTGCATCGTTTTGCACTGGGGACCAAAGTGTGAACTTACCAGCTTCAGGCCATGTCCCAACTGCTTGAGATTCAGGCTCATTCTGTTGTTTTTTACTGGTTTCAGAATGTGTCCAGAATCTGAATTGTCTGGTTTCAGCAAAGGTCCAAGGCTGGACAACATCACCTTCAGACTGGGTCCAGGGTCTGACTGCATCCTTTTCAGATTGGTTCCATGATTTTAATATTTGCCAGTCTGGCTGCAAACCACATAGTCACTGGTTGAGAATCAGGTTGAATACCATTTCTAATTATATAGTTTGAGTCTGAAACCACGGACTCACAGTATTAATGTTCGACACAGTCAAGCATTTTTGCTGTTTCCATTTCAACATGATTCAATAGTGTATCAGACATGGACAGGGTCCAAGGGCTGACTGCTTGAAACTGCACATGAGTCAAAGGTCGGATTTGCTTCCGTTTTAGCTTGAGTCCAGTGGTGCGTTGAGCCTGCTTCAGTCTGCACCCACAGTTTTACTGTATCACCTTCAGAAATGGTCCGGATCTCACCGTACCTTCTCCAGGTTGGGTGCAGGCGTAGAAGTTACCAGTTTCAGATTTGTATCCCTGTCATAAATGTAGTAGTTTTATATTTGGCACTGGGGGTCTGTTTTACCAGGTCCAAATGGAGTAAATGTGCTTAGTGTTTCAAATTCTGGCTGAGCTCAGGGTTTTATCTTCTCTGTTCGAGTTTTAAACCAAGTTCTGCTAACGAGTGCTTCAGGCTGGGGCCATG